TATATATATATATATATATATATATATATATATGTGTGTGTGTGTGTGTATGTGTTTTTTCTCAATGTAATCTTTATTTCGCGTAATTATACATCGTTAGTACGGAATCTATGAAACACTTTATAAAATGTGTGTGTGCAGTCATCTCTTTTTGCGAGGGAATCATGTTGCAGCGTGTAACTAATATCGCGAACTTTATACAGTATCTTAATACCGTAAATAAATTGCGTATAGCGCGGACACGTAATAACGCCAACACGAGTCGAGATAGAAGAAATTTGAAACTATAGGCGTACAGAATAGACTGCGCATTGCTGTAGCAGAGTTGAAGTCAGTATTAATGAAAGAGAGAGAGAGAGAGAAAGAGATTGAGAGAGAATAAAATATTTTCCTTGTCTAATTGTCTAATTGGTGGGAAGAACGAAGAAGCGATTACATGATCAATGCGTTTTCCCTTTTCGTTACTCTGTATATTATTCTCTCTCTGTCTCTATTTCATTTTTCCTATTCTCTAACTTTCTTGGAATGAAATTTCATTCAAAAAGAATGATCACCGAGTCATGTGAATTAGAATAATTTGTTATTCATGTAGAGTGAATTTTCCACTGTGAATCGTCGAGTGAATATTTCCACACGAAACTGAAGAGTGGATCTGATATATTTCATCGTCACACACGGGAACATATCCACTCTAATCGATTGAAACGTTCGCTCATGTGGGGTCAGAAGCCACTCTAAGCTTGAATGAAATATTTATTTTTACGATTTCAAGTGGCAATATTTTCATCCACGTTTCGAGTGAAAATTCTGCCGTTATTGATTCGTTCTGAGTGAGACTTTTCATTCTAATTTATTCTTTAAATTTCTTAGAGTAAAATTCCACTTGAAAAATGGAATGACAATTGAATCACTCGGATTCGAATAATTTTTCACTTGTGAATTTTTAGAGTGAATTCTTTACTCTGAATGGCGAAGTAAATATTTTTACTCGCCATATTTTTACGAAATTTTAATTTACCGTCGCATTTAATGCCGCAAAAACATTTCATCGATTGCTCATATAGAATTAGAACTCACTCTAAGCTTAAATGAAACATTCATTCTCCCTTTTAAGTGACAATATTTTTACCAACGCTTTAAGTAAGAATATTATCACTTTTTACTCGTCTTGAGTGAGATACTATTTCAAGAAATTTAGAGAGCATATTGCTACTTCCTAGAGTTGGTATTCGCTGTTACATGGTTGTAACAGAGAAAGCATTTGACTGAACACACATATCTTTGTCCTCCGATATTGTCATCAATCGTTCCCTAAAAGTGCGCAATCTAATCTATAAGTCTATGTTCGACACACAGTTGACCTCTAAAGCCTAATCTATAATGTTCTCTTCCTATTTTTTGTTTTGTCTTTTCTGGCTAAAGCTTGATCTACAATGTGTTTTCTTCCTGTTTCTTTCTTTCTGACTCAAACCTTAAGCCTTAAGCCAGAAAAAGACAAAGAAATAGGAAGCAGATAGCACATTGTAGATTAAGGCTTAAGCAATCAGAAAAAGACAAAAAAACAGGAAGCAAAGAACACATGGTAGATCAACGCAACATCCTTCCCACGAGAAATACGAGTGCGTTAACATCGATTCAAGATGTTCCAGGCAACTTCGATGCAGATCATGGTGGTGCTATTTAAGATTTCAATGATACGCGACAAAGTTTGAAGGGAAACGCACGACACCGATGTCTTGTATTTCTCCCAATACTCGATTACGACCATCTGCCGCCGAGGGTAAACGAAAGTTGCAACAGTCCCAGATGATCACGCCGCCGCGAATGTATCTCAACCGCGATACATTACGCGCAAAGGTGGCCCGAAAGTTCGCCCAGGAGGAAGAAGTAGCAAGCGGTTATCGAGCGTGCTTAACTGCGCGGTTGTCATAGCTGTACCGCGGTTCGTTGTGTCGAAAAGTGCTTTGAACCATGGACGATCGAACGTTGCGGGGAGCGATACTGACAGCGGTATTATTTTCCTTGTATTATCTAACGCTCTTATTTGTATCTCGTGGCGTTACGAGAGGAAAACGAGAACAGGAGGAGGCTGCGCTTTCGTGCAGCCGCAACGTCACCGTGGGCTGTTATCGAGGTGGAACCGTGACGCGGTTACGAATAAAACTCGTGCGGATTATCGGGCTCAACGCGTTACCCTCGCCTTGGGACGGTAAACCGTGAGAATGCGGCACATTGTTAACGATAATCTGCGCGCAATCATTAGCACGGGCTAATCGGGCAGTAAACGCGTAGCCGTCCGTCAGGTTATCGTTTCTCACTGTTGCCGAGGTCACGCCCGAGATTTTGTTAATTCGTCGCATTAATATTTTTGGTTGTTATTCGTTATTGCACTGAAAGAAGGATTTCGTAACAAATGCCAAAATATATCATAATTGTTGCTAAATTATTCAGTCAGATGATGCGAGCCTAGTATGAAGTGTTAATTAGAAAATAATTTAGTTATATTAAATATATTATAATATAAAGTAAACGTGATAATTAGGAAATAGTTATGTAAAATAAATATGTATAGTTCTCAGAACCAAGATTTAGTTGTTTGAACTATGCATTTAAGTATCATCAAACTAGATTCTGGAAGTTTTAATAACAAATCTTGGCAGCAGAAAATGAGATATTTGATAAATATTACTAAAGCTTGTGCCCGAGATAAAAATTGTTTGAGGTAATTTTTTACTTTGTTTAAAAAGAAATCATATCTTCTAAACTCTATTTTAAGACATCTATATTTTTTATTTTTTGCATTGACGCTTTTTATCGCTTTATACGTGAAATTCCGTCCATGGTTTCATTCGATCCCTGTAGCGGTGCGCATTCTTTCTCAGACCCGCGCTGTTTTACTTCATGGTAGAACAGAAACTCGTGAATCCTACGAAAAACGGTAATGCCTTTGCACTCATGTTTATAACATTCCTTGTAACTTTCAAAAAACGTGGCAATGCCATATTTACTAGTAAATATTTGAAAAAAATATTAGAAAAACCATAACAATAGTCGATAGGTGATATATATTAACATAAATGCAGTTGATAGTCATCAAATATATTTTGTTTAATAAGATATATATTGCTTAAATATATTACTTTAACAAGATAAATATTAATAGTTATCAAATATTTTGTTAAACAGAATTGAATGATTTCATAATATTTATCAAATATCCGATAATGGTCACCAAATACTTACTAACAGATATCAAATGTTTAGTAGCTATTGCTAAAATCTTTAGTCCGTTTGATTATGATTAGAAGTCCTTCGCACATCAAATCTACCATATATTTGGCTATTATTATCATATTTAATTACCTAATTTTTATTTATTTCTATAATATTCTATAACTATAATTCTATAACTAAATACATTTAATAACAATTGCCAGTCTTTTTCAGCGTGAGAAACTCGCGTACTTTCGTGTTCAACGTTTGTTGTTCTGGATATCTAATCCACCGGACGAGGTTCTTCATTCTTTAATGATTTGTCGTTATCTGTACATTCGCACATTTCATCACTATTAGGTATATACTTTATATCTATATATTTCCTTTATAAAAGGATCCGTGGAGTGGCGTCGATAGCTAACGAAATGAATGTCGTAATATCCAATAAAATCTGATAAATTAATCGTACGCTTCTATATCGGACCTTCGATTTCAGTTAGCAGAGCGAAGACGACTGATAGAGAGATCGAGGAGAATAACGTTCTCCAGCTGGATCGTCGTTCAACGCTCCACAACGTCGCGATCGCGGCAATGAATACCGTTTCCGTGCCTGAATACTGATCAAAGATCCATCGCGTGGAACAATCGATAATGATCGTCGGATATGAACGAACTAACGAGCGAGCAGAAGAATCGCGTCTCTGCGTCGGAGGTAGCGCTCTTCTGCAGTCGTTATCTAAAGCACCGATATGACTTCGTCGAGTCTACTTTTCAACGTCGCGAAGACGAAAAGATATTGATCGTGTCGGTTTCCATGCTTGCGTAAGCGCGTTTAACCCTTCCGCTATAAATCGAAAGCGAAAGCTCTTCTGATGCGGGAATTATTTATCATCACTTTCTTCTCGACCGTATTAATTTATTATAAGTTATTATATAGTATATATACTTTTTTTTATAAGTTACTATATATAATGTTATATTATGTCAGTAAAATTAAATTAAACTTGCTTATTACAAACACTAATATAATTATTAACACTAATAAAATTAAATTAAACTTGCTTAGTACAAACACTAATATAGATATAACGTCACTTATTCTGTAACGGGCTTAAGCGTCCAATCAATCATGTATATGTAAAACTCGTTAAACTGAATTGAGAAATCATTTAATCATTTTGTAAATGATCAAATAAATTTTCAAGATATTAACGAAAAAAAAAACAATCGACGCGCGCGCTACTTTAGGAGAAATTGAATCTCATTGGTGTCTAGCTATGGGATAATAAATTTCTATTTAACATCATTACTGGTCAGTAATGTAACGCTCACCTCTTCTAGTGGCTGGACAAGTTAACTGACTTACATATGCCATTGTAGTACCACTGCTGACACGTATATTTATGATTATATCAGCAGTGAAAGAAGTAAAGGGAGAAAGAAACAGGAGACACAAAGAACATATTATAGACTAAGCTTAAAAGTTAATATGGCGGCACGAGAGCAAATAGCAACGTTGCAAACTGCGCTCAGTCTCAGAATCATCTCAGCTTTATAAAATCTTCGGGACTTTCTCTAATTTGTGAAAAATTAGTCCTCTTTATGCACACGTTATATCTATATATCTTTGTTTTATATCTATGCTACATATCTACATTATTATAACTAATATAACATTATTATAACTAATATCAATAAAAATTCTTCAGGAATTAGAAAGTGTCCACAAGTCTTATAAAATTTTTTGACGGTCCTAAGGCCAAGCGCCGCGCAATAGCCAGTCGCTAGGCTCGACACAGCGAACATGGCTTACTGTCCCCAGTTTGCGGCCCAACAAATATCGTCCAGCTACATGCTTGCTGCGGCCACGCAGTCGTACATTTTACTTTAGAAGATAGCATGGAAACGTAGTGTTCTCACGCGAGCAGATGGCACGCTCGATCTGGCACTAATGCCGAACAAAAAGATCTTTTCCGAAGAACTTCTTCAACTGACGTATACTGATGCAATAAATCATAGTGAAACAAAATATATTTATTTCACTTTAGGAAGTTCTTCGAAAAAGAAGCTTAAAGCTAGAGTTTCTCTAATCAAAGTTTGGACATTAATGGTCGATTTTATATTGACTTTTCAATTCGCTATATGTAATAGGGAAGAAGCGAGTGGGAGTGAGGAGAAGCTCTAATAAGAGTGAGAAAAAAGCTGAAATGACGCTGCAACTTCTCTTTTACTTCTATTAGAATTTTTCTCTTACTGCCATTCGTTTCTTTCCTATTACTTATAGCGAATTATCTGTCTAAACTCTAATTACCCAAATATAACTAGCCGGTCTAAATAAAAAACTAGTAACTAGCTAGATAAACAGTACAGGTGAAAATTTCTAGCTTGTTACTAATTCGTTACTGATTGAATATTCATTGAAATATTGAATCGAGTTTGTGATTTAGCCGTTAGTGATTACATATTTACATGGAGAGAGAATATTACAAGTAAAATTACAAAGTAGTAAAATTATAATACAATTTTAATAGTCCAGAAATAGACCAGCACTATGATGAAAATTATAATAAGACATAATAAAAGTAACTATGAACATAACAAAAATTACTATAAATGTAGAGTAAATTATCATGTCTATAGTCATTTTTATTATGTTTTATTATCATTTATTTTCATAATAGTGCCAGTCTATTTCCTGACTATTAAAAGTTTTACTAAAATTGTATTGTAATTTTTACTACAATATTCTGTCCGTGTAATAGAGTAAATATCTAAAAATATCTAATATTATAAAATACACAATTTAGCTGCTATCATCACTAACATTTTAAGATTAAATAGCAAATTAAAATTAACGTTACTTATTCTCGTAAAAAAGCAAAACTGAGCGTTACATTATTAACTAGCAACTACTTATTATTCATTTCATTTTGTTTGTTCAATCATTAGCTAACTTATTTGTCTAGAAGTGAGCGTTACATTACTGGCTAGTCGTGATGTTAGACAGGAATTTACTATCTTGTGGCTAGACACCGACGAGGTACAATTTCTACTAGGGTAGAACTTTAGCCAAAGCTGGATGTCGATGCTGCGGTTTTGAACGACTATAACTTGCGAATGAGTCGACATGTAACAGCAGCGATAATGAAGTAAAAGCAATCTCTTCAGCATGTGTCTATGCTGCTCTTTCATTGTTCATTTTGAAAGGTTGATGTATCATGATCGATTAAAGCTCGCCAAACACACTCAGACGAGCCACACACAATTTCTTTCAGTTGCGATCGTATTGTTCAGATTCTATCCTTCGTCTTGTCTATTATAACCATGACGATTAATATTGTTACTCCGGTTCGAGGTAAATAATTATCGTAGTTATTTGCAAAATGGTAGAGAATGTTTCTGTTCAATTTCTCATAAGTACTATCCGCACACGAGTGTTGGCACGCATTGTATTAGACATTCTGTGTACATTCCCCCTAACGTTAATGAAAAAAAAAAAAAAATAGAAGAGAAAACTTGTTGTTTTACATATTCATTAACTATAGAGTACCTGGATTTAGATTCTCGTGTATAAGTGAGAAACTTCTTAAATCGAATAGAAAAATCCTATACCATTTTGTACATTGAGAAAACAATGTTTGATATTTATGACCATAATGACATAGAGTGAATCAATTATTATAAATTGTCGTGAAGAAAGCCATTTTTTAATGAAATTTTATTATAATGTGTTAGTGATAATAACCTTATATTACTATTCTCGCGTTGGAACGACCAGAAAATAATCGAAGCAAAAAATGACTATATTTTTAGTTAGATCAACCATTTTTTTCTTTCATTGTTGACTCCGTGGCACGATAATTGCTGAAATCTCTTAATGAAGGAAGTGTATTTATATGTTCCTTATAAACATCCGCCCACTTTGAACAAACCGTCACAGCGAAAAGGCTAATTGATATTTGGCCGAGCACGATAACGACAACAACGTTGGACGATCAGAACCCAAATACCTTGACGCCGTCGGGAATGCGGAAGATCCTCTCTTCCGGTGGCAGTTCACCGATTATGTAGCGCTCCAAGATCTTCCTGGCGACGGCGGAGTGTCCGGTGCCAATGAACGCCAAGGTGGCATCGCGTCCGGCATATTCCAACAGGACGTCATGACCGCCCGGGTGACTCTTGAGGAATTCCGTGCAATCGTACACGTAATCGTAGATCACCACCCAGCAATTGTCGGGCGTGTCGTGCCAAGCAACCTCGTCCAGATCGATCGTGCGTAACTCGTCGCGCGACTTTTTCCTGCTCGACTTGAACCTGCGTATTTGGTCCCTCGCGTTGTCGTCGTCGCTTTTGTCCTCCAGGACATTGTCACGTTCAATTTGCAAGAAGTTCTCCTTGGGTGCTTTCACGTCGCCCAACTCGAGGGAGCGGAAGGCTGGACTCAGAAGGTCCATATTGCTGTGTGTCCGCAATTTGCTCGTTCTGCAACATGGTCGTAAAAACGCGATCTCTGTAACTGTGAGTAGAGTTAATTAATTAATTAATTTAGTTAGCTAATTTATTTAAGGTTTAATTAACAGCATGCATTACGCGGAGAGAGAGATATATATAATAAAAAATAAAATATTAATTTAAACATATCCTAGAAAGTTCATTATAAATTTTGTGTAAAAATAATTCATTCGTGGTGTTATTACTTATTGAAGAATTACGAATGTTAATTAATTGACATTCAGCGATTTTTTTCTTACATTTATATTTGTTATTTTGACTTTTAGCACGATTTGTAAAAATAACATAAAAAATAGTAAAAAAAATATACGAAATAGTAGTTAAATAACTCGTAAGAAATATCAATAAGACATTTTGGTTCGTATAATGTGAACATATATAAAGATAAACGCGCGTTAACTTATTTTTCATGTTATATTAACATACGTGATATTAATTACTTTAACTTAATTTATTCGTGATAAAAATATTTTTTTTAAATAAATTTGGTTATTATATATGCCAAAGTTTATAATAATTCAAATACTCGCTTTTTAACTCTTGTTAATATTAAAGTGACTTTAAGAAATGTAATTTCTTAAATAATTGTGTTAAAAAAACTCAAAATAATATTCCATTTCTAAGTAACATATAAAGAACATTATATTATTAAGTTGATATTAATATAACATATTAAAATATCACGAAAATGATAACATATCGGTAATATATTAATTTTACATTGAAATAATAGTAAAAAAGAGTAACACGTGAGAACTTTAACATTTGTACGCAAGATTTGTAACTATGTGTATATATTTTTTTTGTCTTTTGCGTAAAGCGCAAAATGCGCAAAACGCGTTCAAAAGTAGATGGGTATTAGAAGAGTTATTTTTTAGGTTTCTCATTTTTTTTTCTGTCAAAACATTTCTGAGTCCCTCCACTTTCTCCAAGCACCGTTTGAATCGATTAACTACTCACTACATGTATATTTTGCACGTCTGAAATTTCGAAACAATTATCAGACGGGAGAAGAGTGCATTCTTTTTGTCAATGAACTCGGAACCGTCTAGCCGAAAACTGCAGATTGTCGCTCCGCTATTTATATATGATGTTATATATGCCCGTGAATTGATGACTTTATGACACCACGTGTTCGTTTCAGTCGCGATACTCGTCGACTGATAAACTAGACGAAATTGACAAATAATGATATCGCACACTGCTTACATAATCAATGATGTTTTAATAAGCTCACGCGAGTATTATCTATTATTATCAATATTTTTTCTTTTCTTTATTCTCTCTTCGCTTTAGATACATTTTTTAGATTTTTAATTGCATATCTTGTATATATTAAGGTCATAATATTTTGCACTTCCAGATAATCTTTTTCAAATAACACATCGATCTTTATCATCTTTTGGACTCAGTAGCCTGAAAAATGATAATTTATGCTAAAAAGATGGCTCAGTATTGTTCAGATCACTTATACAAGGTGTTTTATTTTAAATTATATAAAAAGGTACGATAAAATATCTCGCAAAGTATGCGTTTTCGGAAAAGAATCATTAAACAAAAGTTGCTTAGTTTCAAGGGACATATAAATGATGACCTTTGACTTTGAGAATCTCTTTCAAAGTCGTCTCAAACTTTTTCAATAAAATCATAAGATTTTAGAAATCGATTCATCACATATCCTGCGTTAAAAAAAAAAAATATATATATATATATATATATATTTATATAAATATAAAAGTATATATATATATATATATATATATATATATATATATTTGTATAAATATAAATATGTATATATATTTTTTAAATGCGTTGTTTATGGGATATTTTATCCTACCTTCTTATATTGTTTAAAATAGAACACCTTGTGATAGAACATCTTGTAAGTAGTCTAAACAGTATCTTTTAGTATAAATTATTATCTTTAGAATTGTTGAATCAGACTCCAAGAGATGAAAAAAATTGGCGAGTATTACTTGAAAAAAGTTATTGATTAGTAAATGTTTGATGGCACGTGCATAACTAATCGCGCGATTTCCGGGTTACGAAGCTTTGGCTTGCGTCAATACGAAGCTTTCTCCGTCATTGTTGTTCATATTTCGCGTAACGTTACGACCCATGGTCACGCCATCCTCGAAAAGTGCGTTAAACGATTGAGATAAAACACTTCCGTTTCAACGCGATAAGGCAATATTTGCTGACACTCGGCATTGATTACGCTGATCCGCAAAATTTCGTCGAATTCAAGCGGAAGAGAAAATAAATATATACGCACGCGCCTGGTTACTCTGAAAATATTATTGATCGCGGAAGTGACCAGGGGCTGCATATGCTAATCGATTTACGAGCGTTTTCACGGACGAGTCGCCGAACAATCTCCTGACACTGCATGGTATATCCGACACGGTGTCTCATATATTAAAGTGTAAACGTACAACGGAGAGCGCTTCTGTCCACGTTGTCTGTCAAGGGACATCGTGTACCGTACTGAACACCATACCGCGAGCTACGTACACAGAAATCAATTCCCCCGCGAAAGGAAAGTAATTCTATTACCGGTTGAAACCCGACACGTGCACGCACTAGGTCTCTCTCCTTGGTCACGCACTGCTGTGGTGGTGAAACGCGTCGTTTACTGTTGCACGCACTTTTACAATCCGCGCGAGGACGAGCAGCCAAAAGAGCGAAAGGAGCGAAAAATAAGAGACACACAGAAAGGAGACACAACACATAAGAAGTGAATGGAACTTGTTGGTGGACACGGAAGCGAAGATGGTCGACAAATATGCGACACGCACACACACACACACACACACACGCACACACACACACACACACACACACACACACACACACACACGCGGCAATTGCGAATTTTATTGGCACGTCAAAGTTGGTACAATTTTCCTTCTTATATGGCGACTCGCCAAGCTGACGGTCTGTCTTCCGTGAAAATTCCGAGCGGGTATTCGAGACGTTTCCCTCGCACTGCACTTTGCACTGCTCGAGACGAGGAAGACGTTTCAACGCCGCGGCACGCAATTGAGAAATGTCGTGGTTGCGTGCCGATCTCCACTAATCGACATGTCTGTTTACGGGTAAGCATGAACTCTTATTTTCTCCCAGCGTGTATCGACGATAAAGCCACCGACCATCCAAATATGCGTGATACGTTGGTCGTTTGCACCATCTTGACGAAAGAGGAAATCACGGAATGGACTACGCGTCAAACGAATGCCCTTCCGAGACAACTGTAATCGCGGTCAGTGATAACGACAATACAATGACATGTAGCGTTTCGGATTATGAAGAAAACACATGACTTGACGTCGCGGTCGCAATCGTTATTATTACATCACATGATTACCGCTGATAACAAAATATATTCACAGATAATTTCTCAAACGGTTTTGCTGCGTTACAAGTATAGAGAGATTAGGAGTATAGACTGACGATGTATGTGTGTGTGTGTGTGTGTATGGACTCAGTATTAATCACTGAATCCGAGTAAACGTTGTTTCAAGTATTTCATAAGTTTTATACTCGCAAATTTATCATAAGTTCTTGTTATAATCTGTCATTAGCTTACTAATAATCTATCTTATTATAATCTATCATTAGCTCTTATTATAAGCATCAACTTTGTTCATAATACATTCTGAATTCGGTCTAGCATTTCAATCAAGAATATTGAATTAAAACAAGAATTCTACTTATATAGGCTTTGCTTACTATATAGACTCGAACCAACTTTTTCTTCCATAAAGTTTTGCAATGGTCTTATTTCGTAATATACTTCTTTGTAAAAATAAATAATAAATTCTTCTCTCGAGTGCAAATAATTTCATAATAATAATTTCTTATTTCATAATAAGAATCTGTTATCAAAGTCAAACTGTTTATTATTAAGATAATGTTGGAGTTGATCACGAACTCGGAAAATATCGATAACGCAGATGTGAACGTCACTAATACAATCGTTATCCTTTTCGTATTTATTTCACAAGCAGAATTTACGTAAATGTGTGTTGTTTTGTTTTACTATATTCAGCGAAAAATCTAACTACGCATATGTAGAAATCTTTCTGCAAACTTTTCCGATATTCTTAAGTTTTTGAGTTCAGATGGTACAGCAATGTTCTTCAAAATTTTTCTATTTGGAGCATTCACGCTTTCAGTATATACAAGCTGCGGAACTTTTAGATTAGGCAAATATTACGCTAACAGCTTGAGATTTTACATTTAAAATTCTTTTTCATTTTCGCCATATATTGAGTAATGCTTCTATTTATTTTTGCATGCACTTTCATTATATAAAAGCATTTATAATTCTGTATAACCAATACGATGTAAACTTTGCAGGAAAATACCAGTATTCTGCCGGCAAAGTTTCCAATTTTAATATCTCCTTAAGACTGTTATGAAGAAAATATATTTTGCTGAAGATAACCAACTACTTAGAAGAAAAGTAAACTGAGTAATTGCTTTTCTTAACAGTAAAATTATATTTTTCGTGTGCAAACAAAATATTTGAAGTAGGATTCTTTCATCTTTTTTTTATTAAAATACTTTTACAGGATATCAATGATATAAATACGATATGTTTGAAAAGTAGAGACTTTCAGCTGTGTTATTGCAATTATTTCATTATTGTTAGTTTTACAAAAATTAATACCCATGAATTTTGTGGACAATTCAATGAATTTTGTCTATTATTTAATACAAGATAAAAAAACATTTTAATTTTATATATTTTATTTAATTTTAATTATCATTAAGTCTTTAACTAAGTTAAAACTACATATCATAATCAGATAGTGTAAAGAGAAAAAGAATGGAATAGCTTGCATCATCTTGTCGCCATATTGAATATTTATATATGTATAGTGTTATGTTTAATTGTGTGAATATATTAATAAGTGTAGAAGTGAATATATCAATAATTGTAGAATTTCTATGATAAGTAATTTTAATAATACATCTTAAAATTAATATAGTTCAGTTATATTTTATTTGTAATTATATAATGTTATGAGATTGTGAGGAAAATTATAGAATTTGTTTTAGCATAAACATTTGCTTTTAGAATCCAAAATTGATTGTACGTCAAATAAATTAATATCAATATTATTATTTCTTTCCCTCTAATAACAATAAATATATATATATATATATATATATATATATATATATATATATATATATATATATATATATATATATATATATTTTTTTTATAGAGA